GTGAGTATTTACTAATTGCTAGGCACTGTTATATAATTAAACAGGATATGTAAATAATATCAATCTAACTTTCTTCCTACAAAGGAAGAAACATTATCTATTTTTATAGCGAAGGAAATTGTGGCTCCCAAATATTTACTAACTTATCTGAGGTAACATCTTAGTAAGTATGCAAAATACAGTCTGTGAATTCAAAGGCTGTTTTTTCCAATGCTGTATTTTAATGATCTAATGAGCATGAGATGAAAATATCTCCATGTTGCAAAATTCCTACAAGTGGGTATAACTAGCCAGTGATGAAGTTGTCATTTCCACTTAATCCCTCCCCCTAAATAATACTGACACTTTGGAAAACATCAGTGTTCTTGTCCCTTCTTATCACTGTTCAGTTGCCTAACGTAGGAAAGATGATTCCAGGGCTTTGTTTCAAACTCCTGGGAAATAGAATTGTGTCAGTTGCACATGGCATTTAATTGAGCTGTAGAGAGATATTTATTTATTTATTTATTTATTTGCCTGAAGGCCTCTGACATAGGCCATATCTCTGGCACTTTCTGCCCAGAAACATGGGCTTCTGCCATAGAATCACTTAGCTATCAGCATATAACAGCCTCAGTGATTGGAAAAAGTTCTACCCAATCTCAATTGGACTTGCCTTTCATTAGCTCTGTGTTTTGGGGTTGGTCATTGGTCTTTTCTGAGCCATAGTCTTCTCACTTTTAAGATATGAATAAAAATAAATACTTCAAAAGATTTTTAAAAAAGAAATAACTTCCTAACACACAGTAAATAGGCAATAATGTTTGTTTAAACATTCTTTTTTTTTTTTTAATGAAGTTTAACCCTAACATTATGCAGCTTGAAAAATGGAAATTTCTCCAGTATCACCCTATTTATAAATGAACACAAAAATATGCTCAACACATTGGGCTTTAGTGAGTCATTCATAAACACTGTCAAACTGTTCAGGGTGGTGACAGAGATAGAGCAAAAGAAGTCAGCACCATGCATATTTTATAAAGAAGCAAACTGTATTCGGGAAAGCTGTTTCTGCTGCCTAAAGTTTATAAGAAGCTTGGTTTGCTTATTAATATAATAGAACTTTATAAATTACAGATCTCTTGGCTGCTCTTTAATACCATGAGATAAGCACAGGTCATGTACCTAATCATAGAAATGTCTATATGTCTATTCCAAACATAATGTAGCCAAGCACTTATTGACATGTTTAATAGAAACTTTTCCAATGATGATGGTGGACCAGCTAGAAACTAACATTAAGCATTGAAGAGAGTTCCGGTAGGCAAGAAATAGACCTGGGAGAGACTCAAAAACAAAGCATACAAAGTGACAAGTGCTATGAACATGTTCGGCATGAGGCTCAGAGAGGTGAATTATCCTGGGATAACTTCCAAGAGGTAATAACATTTAATGAAAACCTTAATAAATGAATTAGCCAGGAAAAGCAAGAGAGAAAAGTTCGGGCAAAGAGCACAGCACAGCATACTTGAAAACTACAAACAGCGGGACACGATTGAAAAGGAGGAGTTGGTGTGGGGCCTGTGGGATGAATAAGCAGAAGAAATGCGCAGAGGGACATGGATCCACTAAGAAGGGTCTCTGTGCAAAAATTACTTTAAAAGGCATTCTGAAAGCAGAAAAATAACAAAATACGTCAAGGAGAATGAGAGGTAAATTCTTCAGAAGAAAAGGGAGCAGAACCAAATTAGTTTATTTTGCCCATAGATATTTTCTGGATATATAATGCATTCAGGACAAGAATTCAGATAATAGACACAGCCTGCCTGCTAAGGAAGTGAGATCCCACTTAAAGATGGCCTGGATCGTAGGCCCAAATGGATGTGGAGGCAGGTGAGAATGGCAGAAGGAACTCTCTCCTCAGAGGAGCAAGAGGGACAGCTAAGCAATAAGAAATCAATAGAAGTAAAAAGAGGAATATGCCCTTGAGATGCCTTCTGGATTAATGGACAGTCCCTAATTAAAAGAGAGCAGTGGAAGCACTACCATTTTGCGACAGTTTTCACACACCCTTGTCTGGGTCAATGGAGCAAAAAGAGAATTGTGGTTATAATAGCTGAGGAGGTTCAAGTACTTTGGGGCTTCCCTAGAGCTATGGCTTGGGCCCGAATTATCTGGGTAATTTCTTACGCTTATAAGACCAGCTATACAGCAGTCCTTGGGAAAGGAGTTGGTGGCCAGATATGGTGTTGGGATTGCCAGAAGCTGATAAAACCTTGTGTGTTTTCTCAGAGTGGGAAAATCCTATATAATAAAAGGGTAATGTGCACATTGATCCTAACAGCGGAACAACCGAGAATGACTGGTTGCTATGATGTGCACTGACCACCAGGGGGCAGCTCCCCCTGGTGGTCAGTTTGCTCCCACAGAGGGAGCTCCACTCAGCCACAATCAGGGTTGATGGCTGTGAGCACTGTGATGGTGGCAGGAGCCTCTTCCACCTCCTCCGCAGCGGCAGCACTAAGGATATCCAACTGCATATGCCTTAACTGGGAATCTGCAACCTTCTTGGTGCATTATTTTTTTTATATTTTTTTATATTTTTATATTTATTGTTTAATATAGTTTTATTGATTTCAGAGAGGAAGGAGAGGGTTAGAGAGATAGAAACAGCAATGACAAGAGAGATTCATTGATTGGCTGCCTCCAGCACATCCCACACTAGGGATCAAGCCAGCAACCTGGGCATATGCCCTGACCAGGAATTGAACCATGACCTCCTGGTTCATAGGTCAATGCTCAACCACTGAGCCATGCTGGCCAGGCTACATTTTTATATTTATACTAGAGTCCTGGTGCATGAAATTATGCACAGGTAGGATCTCTAGGCCTGGCTGGTGATCAGGGCCCCTGCTGGCACCCCTGGGGCTGGCCTGCGTCCTGTGGGCTGAGGGCAGCTCCTGCATTGAGCATTTGCCCCCTGGTGGTCAGTGCACATCATAGCTACCCAATCATTCCCCAGGTCGTTGTGACATTCAGTCAATTTGCATATTAGGCTTTTATTAAAGAGGCTATTCATATATTTATATTTTGTATTTTTATGTATTTATATATATACTAGAGGCCCGATGCACAAAATTTGTGCAAGAGTAGGCCTTCACAGCCAAGGTGGCTGCCTGGATCCTCCCTCACAGCTGGCGGTGCCTGGATCCCTCCTTCATAGCCACAGCGGCTGCCTCAATCTCACAGCTACAGCCTCAGCTTCGTCCAGAAGGATGTCTGGTTAGCATATTACTCTATTATTATAGATGTATATTTGTTCATATAAACATATCAATCTACATATATATTGATTGATGGATGGATGGATGGATGGACTGATTGATTTTAGAGCAAGGGAAAAAGGGAGAGAGAAACATTGATTGTCTACCTCCCACTCATGCCCCTACTGGGAATCGAAACTGCAACCCAAGTTTGTGCCCAGACCAGGAACCAGTAGCCTTTCTGCTATACAGGATGATGCTCAACCAACAGAACCACCCACTGTCAACTCTGGCTACACAATACAATCATCTACAGGACTTTTTAAAAATGCAGATGCTTGGACTCGACCCCCTTAGCTTTTATTTAATTATCTGAGTGAGACCCAGCATAAATATTTTGAAAAATCACTCTAGTGCAGGGTGAAGAATCACCAAACTGCAGGAATGAGAACCACAATGCCAGGTAGGCTATGCCACAGTTATAGTCCAACTCTCAGCACGGAATACCTTCCTGAGGGATGTGATGACAGATGAGGTTTAACAACATTCCCTTTCTCCATGGTTACCTCAGAATTGGCACAAAGAACAAACTCAATCTGTCTATGTGGGGTGTTTTAGAAGTATGTTGAAGAAATATCTATTTCTCCCAGCCAGCATGGCTTAGTGGTTAACCATTAATTCCCAGTCAGGACACATGCCGTGGTTGTAGGCTCAATCCCCAGTGTGGGGCATGCAGGAGACACCAGTCAATTATTTTCTCTCATTATTGATATTTCTATCTCTCTCCATCTCCATTCCTCTCTGAAACCAATAAAAATATATATTTTTAAAGTGAATGTCTATTTTATAAATCTCTTTTATAAGCATTTTCATAAATTTGTATTTTTTTTGTTTGTTTTTCTCCTTGTTGTAATTGTAGTTTATTAATGACAATAATCCAACTGGAGTCACCAAACATGGAAAGTGACTCATATTCTATTTGTACTCAGTGGTAAATAATTTGAAATACTTATATTGACACAAACAGGAAGATATGATAGGATGAAATATACATTTGTTGTGAATCGTAAAGATAACCCATAAGACTTCAAAGAAACTGTATGCTTGAAACTGTGTGCTGTTAGTGGACACTTCAGGCGATGCCCCCAGTCTCCTAGCGCAACGGATTTATTCTCCAGCTGCCCTTGGGACTAGTTTGGAAGGAACGTTTGAGGAGCACTGAGCCAGTGGAATTATTTGAAACGTGAAACTCTTAATTGACTTGGTTTCAAATCCTCCACAGTTGGAGCATATCTTGGCTTAGCTCAAATGCTAGAAATACTGTAACATTTGTCACTTCCATCCCAGCCAAGGGTCAGATGCAGTATCACAAAGAGAAGCCAAAATAAATTCTGAGAGTCATTTTTGTGGTTGACTTAACTTTATTCACACGATAGCCGTGACAGGGGCTGACAATGACTTCCTCTAACATGACTTTCTCCTGGCAGGTGATTTAACGTTTGGCTGCAGACAATGTGGGCTGGAGGGGCATGTGGTGAGACAGGTTGGGGGCTTTTTATAATTCTACATCATCATGAATCCCATTTCCTATTAACCTTGTGGCTTAGCTAACACATTTGCCCTAAGAATTGGGGGATAGATCTAATGTTGACTGGCAAACTCTCTGCAGCCCTTGAGAGCAACATCTTTACAGAGAACACACAATGGGCCCTAACACAGGAGGCACCTCAGAGATGGTGAGTGCAGGTCAGAAGCGCCTTAGGGTGCCAGGACAGGCATCCCATTACAGCAGTGGGATCTCAGGACACACAGCAGGCAGTTCCGGAGCGTGGCAGTCAATCCCGGGAGAGTGGCATGCTGTCTCAGGACTGGTAGGACCTCACAATGAGCCACATCAGGAGAACCGTGATCAGGACCACAGTGAAGTTGAGACACAGCTCCCGGGCAGACAGATCCATTCTCCGACTGGCTCAGGAAGAACTGAAGGCAGACTTCTTCAGACACACCGAACACCTCCTGCTGGCCCTCGCCCCTAACAGGAAGTAACAAAGAGAGCATGGGACCGTCAGTGAGCATTCCTTCCTCATAGGAAGCAGCAGCACTGTGAAAGAGGACAGTGCTGTGGCCTGAACTGTGTCTCCTCAAAGTTCCTATGTTCAAACCTTAACCCCCAGTATCTCAGAATATAGCTGTATTTGGAGATCGGGTCTTTCAAGGAGTAAATAACTTGAAATTAAGTCACTAAGATGAGTCCTAACCCAATATGACCAATGTCTTTATAAGAAGAGGAGATTAGGCCCTAACTGGTTTGGTTCAGTGGGTAGAGCATCATCCTGCAGACTGAAAGGTCCCAGGTTTGATTCTGGTCAAGGGCATGTACCTTGGTTATGGGCACATTCCCAATAGTGGGTGTGCAAGAGGCAGCTGCCAATGCTTCTCTCTCATCGCTGTTTCTAACTCTCTATCCTTCTCCCTTCCTCTCTGATATATATATATATATATTTAAAGAATAAAAGTGTGGCCCAGCCAGTATGGCTCAGCAGTTAACCCAGGAACCCAGGTTGAGGGCTCGGTCCTCAGCAGGGGATGTGCAGGAGGCAGCTGATGTGATATTTCTATTTCTCTCTCTCTCTCTTTGAAAATCAGTTAAAACATTTTTTTTTCAAAGAAGCAGAGATTAGGACACAGACATGCATGGAGGGAAGACCATGTGAAGCCAGGGAGAAGCTGACTATCTGCAAGCCAAGGAGAGAGGCCTCAGAAGAAATCAATCCTTCAACACCTTGATCTCCGATTTCTAGCCTCCAGCCTCCATCTTTGGACTCTAGTTGTAACTCTGCCTTGGGTCCCCAGCAGATTTTGGACTTGCCATCCTCCACACTCCACACATGAGCCATATATGTAACATCCTATTTGTTCTGTTTCTCTAAGACTCCTGACTAATACAGACTGCCTTTGCTGCCTGATGACAAAAAGACCAATATAGTTCTGATTTTTTCCCCTCTAATGATTGCATTGATATTTTTGAAAAAATAAAAATATTACATTGTTCTCTCTCCAATTTCTGCTTGTGTGTGTATGTGTGTGCTTGCCTTGCTAACTTAGAGTACCATCCAGCAAAGCCACCAAAACAGAAAAAAAAAAAAAAGGTTGTGTTTTAGTATTTTTCTTGCTTTGAACTACCTATAGAAGTAGGACACCATAATTTTGTAGATTTCAGGCTTCATCTAACCCTGTTGAAAGGATGAGGTAGTTTCAACATCTGCTTTGCCTTTTATAAGCACTGCTTTGGGCACAGAACCTACCAGAGTCAACCCAAAGTCCCTCATATAGCAGGCACTCAATCCAAAGAGCAAGTGTTAACCTCATGCCTACTTCTGTTTCAACAAGGGCTTGTGCCAGCTATTTTTAGTCAGGTCTAGGATGTACCTAGATTGTAAACACTTCAAAGAGCAGGAACGGTTTCTTTATAGTTTGCATGTATAGTGCACTTAGGAAATCATACTTTGAGAACATATGCAATGCAGTCCATCAAAACTTTACCTTCAGTGGTGTGGCGTGATTGATAATTTGTGTATGAAAATCAAATAAAATTAAAGATGAAGCCGAAACCAGTTTGGCTCAGTGGATAGAGCATTGGCCTGTGGACTGAAAGGTCCCAGGTTCGATTCCGGTCAAGGGCAGGTACCTTGGTTGCAGGCACATCACCAATAGGGGGTGTGCAAGAGGCAGCTGATCAGTGATTCTCTCTCATTGATGTTTCTAACTCTCTATCCCTCTCTCTTCCTCTCTGTAAAAAATCAATAAATTTTTTAAATATATTTTTTAAAAAATTAAAGATGAAAAATAATCTTAGAGTGAAAATGTTTAAAGGGAAAGGGTGTGTGTTTTTTATTTGCTAAAGGTGAAAGTTCAGGGGGGCAGAAAGGATTGTTAGCAAGTTTTTGGCCTGACCATTTAATCTGACTGAATTATTAATTGTAATTACTATATTGATTGTATTATTCGTGGTTCAAGTGATAATGGTATAAACCAGCTGAATGATCATTTTTCATATCAGTTCATTGTTAGTATAAAACACAAATTCAAATCGGATGGTGCCAACTAGTAGGTTGTTGAATCTTGCTTTAAATATGGCCAGTGATGATTGATTTATGTTTCATTTCCTTCTTAATTATGACCCATCTTTTGGCCCTGCACATGAAGCACATAGTAAATGGCCAATGAAAATCTTTATACAAATACTTTAGAAAGTAAACAGAAGATAATAAATGGATGAGGAAGTGGAGAGAGTGTGTAAAAACGTACACAAGCACAGAGGGGAACAGGAAAGTGATGAATGCAAGCAGGGAGCCTGGAGGCAAAGGCATGAGAATAAAAGACAGGCTTTTCCTTATGAATTTATTAATAAAATAGAGTCCTGGCTCAAATGCCCACTCATGTGGGTAAGTTCTGAGGAAATGCAGAGATATGCAAAAATATGAAACTGTTTCCATTGATCAGAACAATTCAGGGAGTAAAATAACTGTCCCACCAAACCTGCCTTACATGAAGCTCTCAAATAGAGAGGGTCATGGGTCATGGCCCAACAAGAACATTCTGGAGGGAAAAAAGTATATGATTGTCTAACCACTGTGCTGTACACCCAAAGCTAATACAAAATAATGTTGAATGTCAACTGTAATTGAAAAATAAAATTTTTAAAATAAAAAAAGAAATATGTATACGTTGAAGGATTCCAATACTTATTGCCAAATCTCCTCTTACATTTTTTTCTAGTTTATATTTTACTACTAGTGTATGAAAGAGCTCGTTTTCCTAAGTCAAAATGGACATTAGTGATTTATTTTATTTTAACTTAAACAATTTAGTTCATTAAAAAAATATAGTATATCCAGGAATTTTTTATTACTGTGCCAAATAAATATTTTCCATGTGTTAAAAAAAAAAAAAAGAACGTTCTGGGGAAATGTTATTGAAAGTTGTCTACAGCTTTTGGTCATGTGACCTTCACAACGACTCTGTGACCTCAGAACTCAGGCAAGTGTTATTGTCATTATTCTCTCTTAGATTCCAGCTAAGAAACTGGCTTTTGGAGAGAGGCTGAGTTGTGTAGTAACCTATAGTAAGTTAGAGGCACAAGTAGAGCTGGTAGGTTGGAAGTAGTTGCTAGAACTGTGATTATTTCTCTAGGAGTGAAAACAAGAATGAGTTACTACTGCAATTAACTGCCCCCACTAAACCAAAGTTAGTGTAAATTTTCAACCACTTTGAGAAAACAATGTGACATTTTTAAAATTTAAGTTGTACATGCTCATTCCTTATCATCCAGTGATTTCACTTTTACTCTAGAAACTCATGCCCATTTGAGCCAGGATGCTTATACAAGGATGTTCACAGCAACAGTTCACAATATCCCCAGCCTGGAAACAACTCAAATGTCTATCAACAGTAGAATGGATGATGAATTGTGGCCTATTCAGATACCTCAATGCTACAGAGTTAAGAAAATATATGAATTATAACAATACTCAACAAAATGGGTAGATCTTATAAATATAATTGTTGCACAAAAGAAGGATTTACAAAAGAAACATAGAATATGATTCCATTTATCCAAAGTCAAAAACAGGGAACTTCATGATATTGTTTAGGAATGCACCCATTAATGATAAAAAAAATATATATATATATATAGAGAGAGAGAGAAGCATGGACAAGATTATTTCAACAATCAAGATTGTGATTACACATGGTGGGGCAAAGAAGGGGAGGTGACCAGGAATAGATATTTGGGGTGCTGGCAATGATCTGTTTCTTAATCTGGGTGATAGTTGTATAGAAGTTGTATTATTGTCAAACTGTATGTTTTATGCACTCTTCACACATTTTTTTCAGTAGTCTCTCAATTGAAAGGCTACTCATCATATTTCTTGAATTCCTGTGGATTAGCTCTTACTCTTTCTTGCACTTTGATGGTGGTCTTAAATATTCGGGGTTTTTTTTTTTTAGTAGATTTTGAATGAACAAAACACAGAGTTAAGGTGAGAATTCCTAATGAATCAACTCAATCAACACGTGCTCATTGATTTAACTTTTACACACACTAATACCAAGGTTAGGCAGAAATTCAGATCAGTAACCTTCATTTTTCTGATGTTAAGCCACAAAGACTATTTTGGCTTTTGTATTGTTTATTATTATTATTATTATAAGTTGATTTTAGAGAGAGAGGAAGAGGAGAGAGACAGAGAAATATCAACCAGTAGCCGCCCGTACCAGCCTTGACTGGGGATTGAACCCACAGCCTAGGTCTGTGTCCTCACCAGGAATCGAACCTGCAACCTCTTGGGATATAATGCAATGCTCCAACCAACTGATTCCCCCTGGCCAGAGCTTGGCTTTATTTTACAATTTTCATGGAGTCAATATCACACCATATGATCCAAAGTGATTGCTATATGGATGAAATGAAAACTGAAAATGTATAATATCAGGTGAAAAAAGAAAAACAAGAATCAGTACTATTCACTTTATAGCTAAAGAAATTCCATGTATATTAAGCATTGCCTATTTCATTAAGAAATGTAAATATTCCTCTGCCTTTCTCATTTACAACTTGTAACACATGCATGCAAGCATACACACACACACACACACACACACACACACACACACACACACAAGCTAAGCATAAGAATCCTGCTGTTCCCTAGAGAGGATCAAGAACATACCTGCTGTGGTAGGCTTCTCCTCTCTCCCCCTCTCTCTCCTTACTCAGGCTCCAACCTGCTTGTCTTCTGGGCCGTCTGGACTTCTGGGCTCTGGGCAGGGCCTAAAGTAGTCCCAGGGAGGTGGCAGCTTCTGTGATGTCACTGATGAAACATCTCAAAGGAACAACCTCCAAAGGTTTGAGGCTATTTGTGTTGAGGGGGACATGGAAACACGTTCACTAAGACTCTGTTCCCTTGGCAACCAACTTGTATGAACACCCCCGGACCTAAAATCTTTTCTTTTCAGTTGACGCTTGTTGCAATTGATGCAGTTTTTAATTCATCTTTTATATCTGCATGAAT